CCCCTGCCGGTGGTCCCGCGGCTGCCTGCAGGGGAGCGTGCTCGGACGCGCTGCACTGAAGACGCGACGTGGGGTTTTCCCAGTCCCTTTGGTCTGGCTTCCCCTGCCGGTGGTCCCGCGGCTGCCTGCAGGGGAGCGTGCTCGGACGCGCTGCACTGAAGACGCGACGTGGGGTTTTCCCAGTCCCTTTGGTCTGGCTTCCAGCGATCTGGGTGTCCGTCCTGTCGCGCCGAGAGCCGAGCTGCTCTTTCCCAAGCCTGACGATGATTCCGCGAGGGGGTCACCGGCGGAGGGAGCACTGCCAGAAGTGGGACACCCGCCATTCCCCCCGCCATGTCTGGGGGCTGGGAGAGCAAAGCGGCCCGTTTCGAGTTTGGGAGGTGCTGTTTTCTTCTTGATTTTTCCCTTAGTGAGGTTCAGAGCAGGAATCTAATTTCACCTACGAAAAAAGCCCAGATAAACGCGTGCCCCAGATCCTGTTACGCACCCGCAGGTCTTGCTGCAGCAGTGTGAGAGGAGCCTGCTCGTGCCCACGGCTCTTCTCGCTGCGCTTTTTTGCCTTTGACATTAAGGCTCGGAAGAAAAAAAATCCACCCTGCTGTGTATTGAAGTATGATTCCAGCTCCACCGGTCTACAGAAATGAAGTTATTCCCTTCGTGCTGTAGGAAGGGTCGTGTTGTTGCGGGAGCGTTTTGCACTGATGTTGGTGCTGTCCTGTGTCTGAGGTTACAAACGGTGGCAGAGCTTGCACAGCTGCTGAGTGGGAAATCCGTTGGATTTGTGCCTTAGGGAATGGCACAATTTTCATTGGGAAAGCAAGTGCACTGTTTAAAGAATGAACGTGTATTCCCAACAGGAGTGTTCTGTAGGATCTCTTAGCAGTGTTATTTACATGGCTGTTATTAAAATACATGGTAATTTTCTTTTTGTTTTTAAAAAAACGAAACAAACCCAGCTCTGCTGACAGAGAGAAGACGCTCGGGCTGTGAAGGACAGGGTTTATATTTAATCTCTGTCACTTGATAACAAATGAAAACTACTTTAGGAAACCCGGGGAAGAACGGGCGCTCGGTGGGGAAGTTTGGAGTTCAGGGCTGCTGCTTTGTGCTTAGAACCGCTCCAGCGCGCCCTGTCAGAGCCTTGAAACAATTAGTGGGATGAGAGTAAATCACGGTTTAAAAATAAATTCCAGCTGCCTTTTGACTCTAGGATCATATCTATCACTGAAACTGTGAAAATCGGATTAAAGTTCAGTGCTAGCTTGGGTTTCGCCGTCCTGACGCCCTGCTGGGTTTGGTTACAGTAACCTCTGGGTGCTGGTGAAGGGGTTCTCTTCAGCCCTTTTTGGAAAGGACAGTAGCTGCAGCGTGGAGTTAAGACACTGACCTAAGGATGAAACGCTCAGGTGAGGTTTGAAAAGGGACCCAGCAACAGCCAGGCGAGGGGAGGTGTTGGCAGCTGCACCTCCCGCTGACCCGTCGCACCGGATTTCAGCCTGAAGAAACTTCAGTCTCTGTCAAAAGCGACGTTTTGTTGGTGTTAGATGCTTGTTTTGTAGGAGTGTTCGTCGGTATTTGAGCCCTTGTCTGCTTATAGACATAATGCTAATTGTAATCACATACCTTTTCTGATTGTAAATCTCTTTCTAAAGCACCACCTGGAAGAGCAAGAAGCAAGGTCACAAAAAAGGGATTTCATTAGCTGTCAAATACTGTTTTACATTCTGATCTGAACTAAACCAGGCACAGCGATGTTTTCTGAAAAACAAGACATTACTGAAAAATGGGCGAGGAATTGCTTGCCTGCACATAGTTTATGCTCATTCGGTAGGAGTTTTGTGTTAGAGCTTACGTCTTGTCTCTGTATTCTACTCCTCCTGATTTAAATACGTAAATGGATAAAATGCTCATTTCAGTTCAGCTCCACTAGTGGAAAGAGTAATTCTTCAGACACTTTACAGAAACTTGAAAATACACATTCTTCAAATCAACCTTTAATTTTTGGGGTTAATCTCAGTTATGCAAATAGCTTCATGTTAAAGGGTTTTTAAGAAACTTTAAGTGTATCAAAGGTGATTAAGCTAACGGCTGCTTGAAGGCAGCTGAGATGCATAATTCAGCTGGAAAAATCCCAGCAAATGCATGATGTGCCGCCGGAAATGGTGTTTCTTGAAAATACCCCCTTAATGTCGATGCTCATTGATTCTCCTGTGCTTTTTTTCCCCCCAGTCTCCAGCAAGGGCAATCCTCCTACTCTTCGTGACTTGCACAAGGGGAGACTTTCTTGAGAGTTTTCATTTCACCTTGGGTTGCTCTGGTTCTGTCCTTGCAGATACCCAAACACCGCCTGCGAACTGCTGACCTCGGATGTGCCGCAGATCAACGACAAGCTCGGAGGGGATGAGACTCTGCTGAACATCCTCTACGACTTCTTGGATCACGAGCCTCCTTTGAACCCTTTGCTTGCCAGTTTCTTCAGTAAGACTATTGGGAATCTCATTGCAAGAAAAACGGAACAGGTAGTGATGAGATTTGTCCTGATACGTGAGCACAAATGAATTCACTAACGCTCTCCGGGCTGGCTGGCAGCGGCGTCGCTGCCCTCCTGATCTCGCTGTGTTCTTAGAGAAGAAAAAGAGCTCTGGAGGGTTGGAATTGAAACGTGGGCTTTGAAAAGTTCTTTGGGTTCTTCGGTTGAGGGAGATGCCGGCTCGTTTAGGCAACTTTGCGTGGTTTTGGTTTCAGGACTGCGGTGGCTGGGCTGTTCCTGTGCCACGGCTGAAGCTTTAGTTCTCGTACTGAAGCTTTTTGAGGCATCTTTCGATCATGGCCCAGAATCGTCTCATTACACGAACAACGCCTCAGCCTCGTGCCCACAAAAGGGCTGCTGGAAACCTGAGCTGAACGGGCTTTTGAGAAGACGTGCGTTCCAATTCAAAATTGATTTATTTCTTTTTTTTAAATGAAGGCTGTCAGAGAGCCTCAGTGGAATGGGAATTCTCCAGCTTCACCATATTCCTGAGGCTTTTATTTCTGGGGGCTGGGGTTTCTTTGTTGCATGGAGGAAAGAAAAGATAGGTATAAAGATCTGATTGTATTGCCTCGAAACGAGAGCGTTGCTCTCTCGTTCTCTGGACAACTTCTCCACCTTGTAGCCTTTTTGCCTCAGGATTGATTGGCTGAGAGAAGAAGGTGAAGTTCAGGAAGTTCTGTGTGCCGTGTCTGTTGTACTCGCAACTGATGGCGACGCTTTTATTTTTAGGTGATCGCGTTTTTAAGGAAAAAAGACAAATTTATTAGCCTGGTGCTAAAGCATATAGATACATCGGCGATGATGGACCTGCTGCTTCGTCTCATCAGCTGCGTGGAGCCCGCGACTCTGCGGCAGGAAGTGCTGAATGTGAGAACCTCCTGCTTTTTGCCTTTACGAGATGGGAACGAGGGGCTTGGTTGGTTTGTTTGTGTCTTAAAGAAACATAATTCTTGTTGTTGTTTGTTACGAGAGTGGATCCGCTCTTCTGAAAACTATTTTCCTGAGCACTAGAGCCTGCACAGGGGTGACTTGGGGTGCTCCAGCCTGGTTGTGGCTTGCAGGGCAGAAGCAGCCTGGTTCAGTCCCTGGCAGTAAAGGATTTTCAACTGATTTTTCCATGTAGCAACCACTGCTTACTGTAGCTGTTCTTGCTGTGGAGCTCTGACAAAGGAAACATGTCATCTTTCCCGGTGTTGAGAATTTTAGGCCCATCATTTGGGACAGTTGCTTGTTTAATTCCTGGCCGTGTTCGAGGGGTATGTGATTTTTGGAGATGATATCTTGTGCCTCCTCCTTTCCTTTCCTCTTTAATAGGCAGCCTTACAAAATACCTCGTGGAGATGCTTCGTTTGCTTTACAGGAAGGACAAGTTTTTCTCCCTTCATAGCCTGGTCCGGCTGAGGCTGCCTCTTCCCCCCTGCAGTGGGCACATGTGCAGGATTGGGAAAAAAACCCGTATGTTAGGTCCTTTTCCGCAGGCCAGGAGAGCCGTGTGCCCTGTGGAGACCTGCACTTGACCCACTGAAGCCCACACCAGGATTTGTCTGGCTTTTATATTTTTTTTATGCTTTGGCTTTGCTGCCTGAGTCTTCTGTGTCCAGAGCAGGGAGCACAGCCCAGCTGAGCAGGTAAACGAATATTCTTGGCAGAGACTTGTGCTCGCTGCCTGCCGTCGCTCAATTCCTCCTCAGCCTTACGGCGCGTCGTGCGGCACGCGCTCCGGTACAGAGCAGGAAAAAAAGAGGCAGGAACCCATCCTTACGGACCCATGTGGGCATTCACCCGGGACGGGAAATCTTCATTTTCTGACAGGCAAGCCAGCGACTGCCTTGGTTAGACACCAGATAGTGATACCGAGAAAGGAGATGGGAGGAAAAGGCCTTCAAGAGACGGACGGGTGGAGGATAACAATGGTGGGGGAGTCGCTGGAAGAGGAAGCAGAAAAGGTCCAGCCGCAGCCCAGGGGTTGGAGGCCCAAGGGCAGGGCTTGATTGTGCCCAGCGCTGAGGGACCTGCCCCGATACTGGGACTGGACTGGGGCTCGCCAGCACGGGGCAGGCATTGCATCCATGCAGCATCCTATTGCCAAGATAAATGCAGTTGTTTTTAATTCTGATGTTCACATGGCTTTTTAACAGAGTAGTTTTTCCTGGGTGGGTGGCTTCTATCCAGGAGACTTCCAGATATCAACCATCTGTGAACAGGCAGAGCTGGATGGGATATATTTTACCTCCATCCTATCAGGTTAATTCTACCTGTTGAAGATTTCACACAGTCAAAAAAAAAAAAAAAAAAAGAAAATGAAGTGAAAATACCAAGTGGCACTGGAGATGAATCTGAAATGTTTGACTCCTTTTACAAATAGTCCTAATGTAAGCATTATCCCCAAACATTTAAAAATCTCATGGCTGAAGGACTTCTCAGAAACCCACAAAGGAGTAGCGATATTGAAATTTGGGGTTGAATGTTTGGAGAAGCTGCTTAACACCAACTGTTGACAATATTTTCAGACATTTAAATCTGCGGAAAAGTTAATTTGCAATCTTGATTTTGGTAGGTATTAGAAATAAAAGTTATACTTCATGAACGGCCTTAGCTTTTCATCCCATCAGGGAAAAACAGTGCCCGTCAGCTCGTGGCTAGAACGGTTGCGAATCGTTTGCTGTCTCGAAGCAGTCTTCGTATTTCTTTGGGCTGCTGGACGCCTCGGAGAGCTGTCAGGCTCTTTTGTTTCAGCAAGAGGAAAAAGTGTTGTAACTGGTTTTTCAGGAGCTCTGTGGGCCGCGGTTGGCTGATCTGCCCAGGGCCCTGCTGCTG